ATGTATATTCTATGGCACATCCCCTAGAGTCTAAGAATGCTCCATTCACATTTCCAGATAGTAGAAAACAATCGTTGCTATGTAGTAATCAGCCCCCAAGCTGAAAACAGACACAAGTTCCCAACTGTGAACATTCTATGCAAAACTACACCCTCAGCATTACTTATAGACAGAGTATACAAACAGCTGTGGGTAAACAGAAAAGCAGTCAACAAATTCCAGTGCCATTCCTGAAAGTCTTAGTTCCATGGAGACAGAGGATTCTACTAGGTTAGGGTTATCACCATCAGATATTGATTAGCATTCAAGAGTTATGCAAGACAAACAAGGTTGCTGAAGTACCTCTCCTATGAAGCATGAAAATCCTAAAAAAAGGGTTCATTGACTAATGGGACTGGGTAGATATATTTTATTTACCCAAAGAAAAGTTTGTTACTTCTATGATTCTGGTGGTGCCATTTATCATCCATGGCTTTCTATCATAAAATCAAGCAGGAATCATAGTAGGCATAATTTCATACTTGGGTTACCATGTTAATCTTTTGTAGTTATGTTTGAAATAATGCAGAATAGTTAATTAAGTTAATAATGTAGGATAGTTACTTAAGTAAAATGTTTGTAGTAACTTACATATGAAGTTGAGGCTAGCTTTAGCTATGCAAGTTTGTTAAAATAGTATTTCCATAATGTCAAATTTATATTATGTCATATAATTTACAGCTTTCCCCCCACCAAGAACATAATTTCCAGATATACAAGGACTACTGCTATTGGATTCCCACAGATATCTTTACCTAGCATTTTGGCAGAGGGGAAATTGCCTTATGCATAATCTGAAATAATTGAAATAATTGGAAGTATGATGAGAGCCAACATTTAGAAACTCCCTTGTGCTTCTTTATACTTTGCAAAATAAAATGATCACCGAATGCATTCATGTTTTAAAATTTAAACAGACTTGGTAAATGAAACTTGTTTTCTAAATGTGCAGAGGGGCTAATATAAGGTGATTGGTGTCCCTAAAACAGGTGTTAAAGATCTTTTAAGCTTCCCAATACATTTGCAAATTTATCCCTACGAAGTGGCAATTTGCAATTATAGCTGATTACAGAAATCAGGATATACTTAAAATGTATTTTTAAAAATTCATCATTTTATTACCTGTTCTACTTTTTATGATACATGTCAAATTATTGATAATGTTCTCAAATATTCCAGAGAGATTTGCTTTTGTTGGTAAGAATTAGCTTTAAAAAGAAAGTCATTCATATGTGTGGCTCCCAGGATACATTTTAGCATCTGACTAAATTTTGTATCCTTATTCACCTTTTTAAACAACAAATTTTATTTTTATGGCAATGTTAGGTTCAAAGCAAAGTTGAGAGAAAGGTACAATTTCCCATGTCTCCCTTTCTCCTATACATGCACAACCTCTATTGTAACATCTTCTGCCAAAGTGGCACGTTGTTATTCAGAAGTCCATGGTTTACTTTAGGGTTTGCTTTGACATTGCATATTCTGTGTTTGAACATATATATAACAGCCTGCTACGACCACTAAAGTACCATACAGAGTAGTTTCACTACCCTAAAAATCCTTGGTGCTCCATGTATTCATCCCTTCCTCCTTGGTGACCCCTTGGAGCCACTGATCTGTTTACTGTCTCCATAGTTTTGCTTTTCCTAGAATGTCATCTGTATATATTGACAGATGCTATGATTGTCTATATAGAAAATCCTAAAGAATCAACAGCAACAACAAAATAAAAACCCCTCCTAGAAAAAATAAGCAATTCTAGCAAGGTTGTAAGATGCAAGGTCAATATATAAAAGCCCATTGCTTTCCTATATATCAGCAATGAACAAGTGGAATTTATAATTAAAAACACATTGGGGACCAAAAGTTGGTGTAATGGCTTATGTCGCTGGACTCCCATGTAGTCGACTGCAGTTCGAGTCCCAGACCCGGTGACTTAAACTCACGCTGGGTGCGTGTGTATGTGTGCCCAAGATCCTGAGAGGAGAGTGGAGGAGAAGGAAGTGTAGCATGGCCATCCCCCTCAGGGGGGTGATTTCTTGCTTCCTGTCTCTCTGTCTCTCTCTCTCTGTCTTTCTACAAGAGCATGTGCCCTATAGCCAAAACCTCTACAAAACAAAATAAAACAAAAAACATGTTGCTATTTATGTTAGCACTCCCTAAAATGAAATTCTTAGTTATAAACCTAGCAAATATATACAAAAGCAGTATGAAGGAAACTACAATACTCAGATAAAAGATTAAAGAACTAAATAGAGAAATATTCCAAATTCATCAAAACTTAGTGTCATCAAAATTTTAGTTCTTCTCAATTCAATCTATAGATTCAACACAATTGCAATAAAAATTTCAGCAAGTAACTTTGTGGCTATTAGCAAATTGATTCTCAAGTTTATATGGAGAGGCAATAGACCTAGAATAGCTAACACAATATTGAAGAACAAGAAGGCAGAGGACTGGAATTACCCTACTTCAAGACTTACTGTAAAGCTATAATAATCAAGACAGTGTGGTACTGATGAAAGAATGAAGACAAACAAGTGGAATGGAACAGAGAGGCCAGAATGCTTAAAACCCAGCAGTAAGAAAAAACAAAGTCAAAAACAGAAACAACACAGTCTTGATTTAAAAAGAGGACAAAGACCTAACAAGACATTTCATCAAAGAAGATAGGCAGTTGGCAAGTCAGGATCTGAAAGATGCTCCACATTGTATCATCAGGGAACTGTAAATTAAAGCAGTAGTCAAATACTACTATGGATCTCCTAGGATAGCCACAGTCCAGGTCACTGACAGCCAGATGGTGGTGAGGAATGTCATCCATTGCTGATGGGACTACACAGTGGTATAGTTTGGAAGACAGGTTGACAGTTTCTTACAAAGCCTAGCATCCTCTTACCATACAATACAGCAGTCATGCTCCATGGTATTTGCCAAAAGGAGTTGACAACTTATGTCCACACAAAATCCAACACAGGAATGTTTATAGTAGCTTTGTTCATAATTGCCAAAACTTGGAGGCAACTAAGATATGCTTCAGTAGGAGAGTACATAAATACACTTCAGTACACTCAGATAACGGTATTCAGTGCTAAAAAGAAATGAGCTTTCAAACTGGGAAAAGACACAGAGGAAAATTATGGCATATTACTAAGTGAAAAGAGCCAGTCTGCAAAGATTACGTACTGTATGATTCAAACTACATGATTTTCTTATTCACCTTTTACTCAGATATCATTGCCAGTTTGCATTCGAGTTTAGAGGTCACAGAGGTGAACTAAAAATTCTAAGAAGGTTCCTTGGACAAAGCAAGCTGGGGTTACGTGGTTAGGAAATATTTTAGAAGGGTCATCACTAGACCACTGTTATATACTTTATTGGAGAATTGTATCAATTATGAGACTTTGATCTTATATTTTCTTTTATAAGATTTTCATTTGTATTTTTAGTTTATAAGGTTTTTTGGCTCTTGATTCTAAAGCCAGAAATATGTGGATGAGAATGTCAGGTCTACCACGTAGTAGCCAGTGATGTGACCTAAGGAAGGTTTCCCCACCTGAGAATTTAGACTCTACTTAATAAGAACGAAGTAAAGGATCAATCAGTGAAATAATATAATCAGGTCTTCAAAAAGTTTATGGAAATGCATATTATAAAAAACTTATGTATAAGTTTCAATGTTTGTGTAGCCAAAATAAATTCCATTTCACTTTTCCACAAACATTTTGAAGTTGTGTTATTTAATATTTTAAACATTTTGTGGAGCATCTATTGTTATTTCTCTTACTTTACAGTTCTGATCTATCATCACCTTTTATATTGGTCATTATTTCCAAAAACAATAGACTCTACTTTGGCTAATTGAATAAGAATTTAAGAAGTATATTGGTTAGTTAAGAATGCATCCAGGGGGACCAGCAGTTAGCATAATGGCTATATCACTGAACTCCCATGTAATCGATCGTGGTTCGATTCCCGGACCTGGTGGCTTAAACTCATGCCGGGCGTGTGTGTGTGCCCAAGATCCTGAGAGGAGAACGGAGGAGAAGGGATTGTGGCATGGCCATCCCCCCTGGGGGGTGATTTCTCGCTTTTAATCTCTCTGTCTCTCTCGTCTTTCTGGCGAGCGCATACACCCTATAGCAAAAACCTGTTTAAAAAAAAAAGAATGCATCCAGGAACAGAGCCCATTATGTTATCCAGGTTGTTTGGGGGAAAATATTACTACAGCATTTTTACAGGTAGCTCTATCCTGCAGTCCTCAGAAAGGGACAGATGCTTTCCCACCATGTTCACCACAAGGCAGAATGGGTGATCCATGTTTTCTACTCAAGTTACTTAAAAGTATTGAACTGAGTGTCTAATTGGGGGGGCCTGGTCACATGACACTGTCCTGACTTCATAGCAGGTTGGGAAACAAGTTTAAAGCTTGGGGAAATAGGATCAATAAGGAAGGAGATTCCTCAGACATTTCAAGAATATTGGAAAGATGCTGGACAGGCAGAAAATGTGATAGTACTCTAGGGACATTTTTGTTACAGTAGATTATTCATAAAGACAAAATATATCCAAATTAAAAGGAAGGTGACTTTGGTTTATTATTCTTTCTTTGAACCATGTATTTTAACTTTGAAGTTAACTTTGTTTACAGACATTTCGGTGTCACTTGCCTTTTTCACTTAAATTTATACATACACACACACACTTGCAACATCTTACCATAAATACAAATCCTAAGCAAATTAAACTTAAGGAGCAAAACTCATTTTTCCCTACCCCCTGGCTGGCTTTTATCATGTGTCATCATTACCTGACCTATTTCTCTACAAGGGAGAAATACAGAAATTACTTTTTCTCCTCATGCCATGGGAACCTACCACATTTTTCCATCTGTTATTTTTCCTTTAAACATCATTTTGATATTTCTGATAAATTCTCCTTGAGTCATCATTCTCTTATCTTACCTGCTAACCTGGAAGTGATGTCAGTAAATTGGATCTCTCTGTGAAGAAAATTAGCATGTTGGCACTTCAGAGTATTCAACTGGAAGAAAGGAGAGGCTTTATTTATTTTTTAATACATATTTCAAATTTTAAAAGCAATATATGATGGTTATTAGAATTTTATAACTAAAAGTCTAAAAAAGGAAAATAAATTTGCCCAAATCATGTCTTTCAGAGTTGGCATTTTGTTGTTTTCTCTACCAGTATTTTCTCTGTGAATGCACACTGGGAAAACGAGGACAATATGAAAGAATAGAATCATATTACAATATGATTCATATTTATAGTAGATTACAGTAGAATCATTATATATAATGTGAGTTCTGCTTTCTTCATTTACTAAACAGTTTCCTATGTCTTTCAATATTAATAGTTAATATTTATTGAGTGTTTACTTTGAGGAAGTCATTCTTTTACACACTATGTATACCAACTCATTTAATCTTTTCAGGAGTCCATAATATAAGTACTGTTATTATCTTCATTTGTTAACTTGGAAAAATAAGTCACAGAAAAAGAAATATCTAAAATGTTGCCTGTGGTCACAAAGCTAATAAGTTTTAGAGCTGGGATTCAAACCCTGATCTAGCTTTGGAGTTCATACTTTTAACCATTATACCACTGCCTTCTATCATTTTGAAACATGACTTTTAGTATGATATTCAGTTGTGTACACTTGCTGTGGAATCAGAGTGTCCCCAAAAGTTCATATGTTGGGATCTTAATCCCTTTTGCTTATGAACAGATTAATGCTGCTATCTTGAAACTGCATTAGTTCCTGAAAGAGTTAAGTTAGTTCACATGATAGTAGGTTGTTATAAAAGTGAGCTGGGCATAGTCTTGTGATCTCAACCTCATGGTCATTTTCATGGCCACTTGCTTGCTCTTACACTTTTCTTACATGTTATGCCACACCGTGAAGACTCTTGTCAGATGCCAGTTTGTAGACCTTGGACTGACCAGCCTCCAGAACTGTGAACTGAATAAACTTCTCTTTTCTTTTCTTTTTTTTTTTTTTTTTATGAAGTATCCAGTCTGTGGTATTCTGTTATGGCAAAAAGAAAACAGCCTATGACTATACCATTGGTTTTACTTTTTTCACTTACTATTTAATTAATCATATTGATCATCATTAATATAATTTGTGAACATAATATATAATGGCTACATAATATTCATTGTATGTCCATTTGTGTGAACCCTGAGGCTGCTTCTACTTTTTAAGATGATAAACAGAACTACAGTAGAGGTTATCTGAGCCTGAACATGAAGCATCTTTGGAACTAGAGTCTTACCAGTACAGCATGAAAGAGGGCCTATTTTAGGAATCTATGCCAAGGAAAGAGGAGATCACAGGTTACAAGGGCAGGAGATAATTTTGATATATTGATTTGGGGGAAGCCAGGAGAAATGTAACCATTCTGAACCATCTCTGAAAGCAGACAAAACACAAATCTTATATGACCTGCATCCTGACTTTCCTATAATCCTATTAACCTAAGCAAAATGGGAGATAAAATAAATGACCTGGGAAACTAGAATAAAGATGAAGACCAAGAAAATATAAGAATTGCGCTGCAGCAGGGTATAGGGAGCCCCTTGACTGAGAGATCTCTTTCATTGCAAAGGATCTTTGGGGATATTGCCAGGCTACAGTAAGTAAAGTTGATGATTTTAAAGGTAGAGCTAATATTCTGCTTGGCATGAGACAAATGTTTGAGATAATGGATATGCCAACTCCCTAGACTTGATCACTATATGTTATATTCATGGAAAACTCACAGTGTACCCTATGTGTAATTATTTTATATGTCCATTAATAAAAAGAGATATTCAATAAATGATATTGTTTACAAATTACCTAACCAATTTTAGTGTGTGATTGAATTGACAGGCAAAATAGTGTTTTGAATCTGTGAGACTAGAAACCATGAGCAAACTAAAAGTTATAATGTAGTTGTCATAAACAATAAATGTAACTTTTTGTACAAAAACACAATCTGTGTTATAGTAAAGATTATTCATAAGCTTTGGCTAATCTCTGATCATTTCCTAGATCAAAGACATGGATTTTTTAAAGACTTTTGATATATTTTGCCAAATTACTAATCAGATAGTTATCAATTTGTTTTTCATTCAATGTATTTTGTTTTAAGAATTAGTCATTATGGGGACCAGCAGTTAGCATAATGGCTATGTCGCTGGACTCCCATGTAGTTGACCACAGTTCGTGTCCTGGACCCGGTGGCTTAAAAATCACTCTGGGTGTGTGTGTGTGCGTGCCCGAGATTCCGAGGGGAGAATGGATGAGAAGGGATTGCGGCGTGGCCATCACCCCTGGGGGATGATTTCTCACTTTCTGTCTCTCTGTCTCTCTCTGTTTGTGCCCTATAGCAAAAACCTCTTAAAAAAAAAAAAAAAAAGAATTAGTCATTATGAGTTCTGCATGAAAAAGGCCGTATGTGTTTTTTTGGTCCTTTTTAAAATAACTAATATACATCTTTTCAAGTACAGTGCCTCAGTATTTAATATGGGCTTACAACTTTATGAATAAATGAGAGAAATGCATTTAATGACTATTTGTGGACTTTCAAGTTATCCCTCCCCCCGCTTCTTCTTTTTTTTATTTTTTGCATGCTACTTTTATGTGTGTATTTCTGCTTAAGAAAAAGAAGCACCTTTTGGGACCAGCAAGTGGTGTGGTGTTTAAGGTGCTGGAACCCCCATGGCCGACTGAGTGGTTCCAGTCTCAGACCCAGCAACTTGCAAAAAACATACTGGGCATGATATATGTGTGCCCAAAATTCTAAGAGGAGACTGGAGGAAAAGGGATCGTGGCATGGCCATCCTCCTGGGGGTGATTTCTCACTTTCCTTCTCTGTCTCTCTGGTGAGCATACACACCATATGCAAAAAATAATAATAATAATCATAAAATAAAATAAAAATAAAAAGGCATCTTTGTACTGCTTCACCTATTTTGAAACACCAGCTATTCAGTGAGGGTATGGTTGTCTTATACAGAGTATTATAAATCTTAAACTCATTCTTTTGCATTGAAATTTAGGCTTTTCCAATACGTGTTTTTTTGGGGGTTTTTTTGCATTTAATCTGTTAATACAATAGATTATCTGAAATAATTTTCAAATGTTAAACTAACATTCTTGAGTTAAACACAATGTGATAGAAGTTTGCTTGTGTTTTGTTTATTATCTATGTTTATGTTCAGAGACAAGATAAGTTACAAAGTTTCTTCCTTTATGCTGTCTGTGGGTTTTTGGGGTTTTTTTTGTTGTTTGTTTGTTTATTATAGGGCATATATACTCACCTGGAGAGACAGTGCGAGAGGTAGAGAGAGAAAGTGACAAAGTATCCCCAGGGAGGAATGACTGTGCTGCAATCCCTTCTCCTTCATTTTCTTCTCGGGATTTTGGGCATGCACTCACACATGCCTTGTATGTTTTTCAAGCCACTGGGTCTGAAACTCAAACCGCTCAGTGGCCATGTGGAACCCAGCCTCATTATCACCTAGCTGGCCCATGAGTTTTTAATTTTGAGATTTTGACAGTCCCATAAAATGACTTGGAGGGAGTTTCTTCACTTTCTGTTTTGGACAGACTTTATATAAATTTGAAATTACCTATTTGGGGGCCAGCAGATGGCATGGTGATATGGAGCTGGGTTCTCACATGACTGATGGCAGTTTGAATCCCCATCAGGGCAACTTGTTTTCTCGCTTTCTTACTCCTTCTCTCTGTCTCTCTCTCCCACTCTGTCACTCTCTAGTGAGCATATGTGCCCTATAGCAAAATTTAAAACAACAACAATAGCAATACTAATAATAATAAATGAAATAAATCTTGAAAAAAAAAGGAAAGTACTCATTTGGTAAAATTCATTCATAATACTGTCTGGTTATGGTTTTTTTTTTTAAGTTTAAAGAAATGTTTACCTGCTAATTCAACCTCTGTTAGAGTTTAAGGTGATTCGAGCGTTCTATTTCTTCCTTAATCAGTTTGAATAATTTATATTTTCCTTACGATTTGTGCATCTCATCTGTATTTGAGAATTTTGATGAAAGTTTTTCGGAATATATCTTACATATTCTACAGCTATTATTTTGTCAGTCATTCATCTTCAGTGTGTCCTGTCTCCTGTTTGCCTTAACCATTGAAGTTCTTATGTTAATTTTATATTTCTCCTTTTTAGAGATATTGTTTAGCCTTTTCAAATCTGCCTGTAAGTTTTGAAAGTCCATTTCTTGGGCATGCTTTTACTACTTTTTAAAATTTCTTTAAACATCCTCATGAAATTTTTCATCGTGAAAATAACTACAGTTTCGTGGGCCTGGGTCTGCAAATGATTTCTATTGAGTTGCTCATGTTTGGGGTGATTTTAAGAAAGTGAGCTCATGTTTTCTTTGAACTTTGTGGAAGTTCTTTGAGATCTGGGTTGAAAGTGTGTTCCTTCAAAAAGGATTGCTGTGAGGCTCCATAAATAGTGCAAGTTTACCAAAGAGTGGGACTATGATTAGGAATTCTAAATTACTATTAGGATACCTGACAAGGATTGTTCTCCCCAACTTCTCTTCCAGATTCAGCCAAGGCTGAGGCCTGAAAGTGGCTTCACCAACCATCTGCCCTTAGAAGGCAGATTCCCCACCTCCACCCCACCCAAGGTTTATTAGGATGGGGGAGTGGCAGGAAGAAAGGGAGAAGGATCTTGGGATTGTCCAGACTCCTATGTTGCAATGCCAGGGACACTTGACCTCTGACCCAGCATTCCACCGGTTAAAGCACAAGTTCCATCTAGACCTTCTAGGATCTGCAGAGGCCTCAGGAAAACTCTCATTAGCCCTTACCCAGGAGTATTTCCTACGTACCTTAGAGAGTTTAGTTATTACCCTGACAGCTCAGCTGTGTATTTAAAAGATTTACAAAACATATTTATTCCGTTTTTTTTTTTTTTTTTTGAGAGATTTTCATTGTAGGGTGCGTGCGCTCGCCAGACAGACAGAGAGAGACATAGAGACAGAAAGCGAGAAATCACCCCCCAGGGGGGATGGTCATGCCGCAATCCCTTCTCCTCCATTCTCCTCTCGGGATCTTGGGCACGCACGCACACGCGCCCGGCGTGAGTTTTAAGCCACCGGGTCCGGGACACGAACTGCGGTCGACTACGTGGGAGTCCAGCGACATAGCCATTACGCTAACTGCTGGTTCCCTTTATTCCGTTTTTGAGTCCCTTATACTAAGAGGGTTTCTCCTGACATCCGATCTACCAAATTGGAAGAAATGGGAGTTAGATTTTTTTTAATCCTGAAAGAGAAGTACTAGTTTTAAATCTTATATGGTAACTTCAAAAGTTACATTAATATGAGACCAGTAGTTAGTGTAATGGCTATGTCACTGGACTCCCATGTAGTTGACCACGGTTTTGAGTCCCAGACCCGGTGGCTTAAACTCACACCAAGCACGTGTGCGTGCGTGCCCAAGATCCCGAGAGGAGAATGGAGAAGGGATTGAGGCGTGGCCATACCCCCTGGGGGGTGATTTCTCACTTTCTGTCTCTCTGTCTCTGTCTTTCCGGCGAGCGCACGCACCCTATAGCAAAAAACCTCTCCAAAAAGAAAAAAATAAACAATGTTACATTAATATGTCAACCTCAGTTTTCTACATCATAGTCAAGAATAGAGAAATAAATGAAAAAATTAACAGAATATACCATTTTGAGTTAACTCTCAGTAAGGTATAGGACTCTATGCCAAATGCTTTACAGTGATGATTTCATTTCATCGACCATCTCGAGTCTGTGAGATTTTTATCCTTCCCTTAGGAAAGAGAGGACACTGAGGCTTCAGAGGAGTTGAGGTGACCTACTCGAGGTCACACACGAACAGGTAATTCATAATGTCGACCTTGGGTTATCCAGGAAATAATCACTTTGTTTATGCGTGGCGCATTGCTGTTTTAAAAGGCAAAAAAATGTGTAATA